GTGTGTGTGTGTGTGTGTGTGTGTGTGTGTGTGTGTGTGTGTGTGTGCGCGCGCGCGCGCGCATGCGCGCGCGTGTGTCCCATCCAGAATCCTGGGGGGTGGGGCGCTTTCATGTTCTGCAGGTGGGGGCCCAGGAATCAATGTGGGAAATCCTGCACCGCTGTCTCCCCTTTAATGCACATGCTGCCAGCTATACGTGGAAATACGAGGGGAAGAAACTGAACATGGATTATACCCTGGAAGAGAATGGGATCCGGGACGAGGAAGAAGAATTTGACTATCTCAACATGGACAGTACAGTCTACACACCTGCAATACTGCTCTACTTCAACGACGACCTCACAGAGCTGTAGGGTGGGGACCAGTGCTTGTGTAGACGCAGCTGAGTTCTGAGTTTGGCTGCATCTGTGCCCTGTAGGTGGGGGAGAGGGCGGAGTGCTGGATAAAGACCTCCATTCCATTCTGGGAACTGGCCTGTGGTTCCCGCGTCCTTCTCAAGTGTACAGGTCCTATTTCCCAGTCCCACTGTGATCTGCTCGACGTGAGGGAGAATGCTAGAAGCACATTCATTAATTCTCAGGAGTGACACGAGAAGATGGAAGTATCTTGGATTGGGGAGAGAGCCGGAGCTCAGGCAGAACTTTTTGACAGTCCGAGAAGGAGAAGCCCTACACAGGGATGCGGGATGGGAGAACTTTTATGGCAGTGATGGGAACGGGGACGGCTGCAGGGATTTCCACAGACAGGAACAGGAAGTGTCTATTGCTGGCCACACAAAACCGGCTGATCTGCCTTCTGAAGAGTCCTTGGTAGTTGGAACCCCAAAGGGAAGAAAGGAAGCGAAGGGTTAGGCGGTAGTTCAGGCTAGACCTTATGCTGCGTGCTTCGTACGCCCTTTTTAATACAGCTACTCTGTAAGTTGGGTGCCGTCACCACGATTTTACACAGAAGAAGTCTTTTTGAAGCTAAGAAAGATTTTTTTCCCTATTTGGCTTTCGTAAGCGATTGATGACCCCGGGCAGCATCCCATCCAGCAAGTAGAGGGGAGCTCCCGAAGCTCGGCAAGATTTAGTAGCAGGAAGGCACACGAATTTGTGGCCAGAAGGCAAACTCAAGTCTAAATCCGAAGTTCGTGTTCTTTCACGGTAGAGAGAGGATCTCACTGTCCTAGGCTCGTCCCAAAAGACAGCCACCATGGGGGGCAGTGGCCAGATTTGTCTCCTTTAACCCCAGCAGGGGAGGGGAATGAGGATGACAGGCAGCCCCCCCACCCGCGGAGTCCCCTACCCGCAGTGCCTCCTGCCAGAAACGCCCCCCTCTCCTAGCACCCCGGTCACTCTCCAAGGAGATCCTAGCTCCTAAATGCCTCTGGGATGCACCCTCTTCCTCACTGCTTGTCCAGACCGCTGTGCAGACGTCGTCACCAGCCCCCCACTTCCGCGTCTGCCCCCCACCCCCCCACGCAGCCGTCCGAGTGAGTGCTGAGAACCAAACCCAGGCATCTGACTTTCCTTCCTTCAGAGTCTTCAGTGGCTTCCGGGTGCTTTGGGAATAAAGTCCTGTCCATCCGAAGACGCTGCACGAACCGGCCGGCGCCCCCCTAGCGTGCCTCGCCTGTGTTCCCTGGGTCGCAGCTGCTGGGGCTGCGTCCGTGACGCAGAGCCCTCACACACACCGTTCCCTCTGCCTCCACGCTCTTCCTCCCATCCCCCACTTAGCTGACCCTAAATGCTTCTTCCTCGGGAGCTCTTCTAATTTCTTGGTGTAGAAAGCAAGATTTTCCATTGGATCGTCTCTTAGCGTCACACTTATTCCAGAGTACTTATTCCAGTGTTGGTTTTAAGGTTACGGATGTGAGACAGCCATCTGGGTCACCGCCGGATTCCCAGCGTTGGGCGCACAGTTGCTGCTCAATAAATTTTGATGGGCTGACCTCCAGTGTTGAGTGAATTCATCTGTCCATAGTAACTAGTGTGGATGGGACGCTGTGACCTGGGAGGCAAGGCCAAGACCAAGAAGGAGGACGTCCATTGGCTGTGGCAACTTCTCTGGCCTGGTTCCCCTCAGAACAAGACCAAACCCCAGGGAGGCCTCCCTCTGCCCAGATTTGGGGGGAAATCCACCTGCCATTCCCCCATATGGCCATCAGGTGGCGGTCACTGCCCACAGAGTCGGTGGCGGGGGGAGGGGGGGACAAGGGAGGGAAAACCGGCCCAAGTTCTAAAGAGGTTTACAATCAGAGGGGGCTCCCTGGAATGTATAGGTGGGAGGAAGGATCTGAAAAAAAGGAAATACCACATGGCTACTGTTTTATTAGCATTTGGCTACCTTCTGGTCTATGTTTTGTCCACAAGGAGTAAAGTTTGAGGAATAAAACCCATGGGATGGCACAGGCAGGGGCTCTGATTACAGGTGTGGGTGTGTTCAGGGCCAAGTGCAGAGCTGCGGACAGAATAAAGAGCACGCGTTTCAAAGAGAATACAGTACATTCCTTTAGTAACACTTACCGACTTTGTGTGTGTGTGTGTGTGTGTGTGTGTGTGTGTAAAGCTCTTCCAAGACTGGCTATTTGCATGAGGAGTATGTAAATAATGCCTCGGCCAAAAATCTAGAAAGTAAATAGCACATGAGCGTGGGGTCCAAGTCCTCCTGTGGTGACCTCTTCCGTTTTGGAGCGGGGTGGGGTGACAGTTGGAAATTGAACGCTGCCCATCCTCAGGAAACCATAGCGACTTGAAAGGACTCAACTGGCAGATTTCACTCGAGCCGCGGTCCCTGTGAACACAGATCACTGGGGAGAGCAAAGACCCGTATGTCCCTGCAGGGGCCGCCTTCTCAATGGGATACAACATACGCACATGGAAAGGTAAATGAAGACAGTATTCGGTAAAGGACCAAATTATGGTCTGGAAAAAGTTTCCACCCTCAGGCAAGTCGCAAGGGCATTCTTCACCTGGATCTCTAGAAGTGCTGAGGTGGTCTCTAAATTGTGTGTGGTTTGCACGTGTGCACAAGCTCAGACGTGTATCATTTGGGGGAAAGGCGCTATCATTTCAAACATCAGTCTCGAAATGGCCCAATCCTCTGCCCCTGACACAGTACACACACACACACAGGTCATTTAAAGTAACGTATCAAAGGTGATGATGTAATGTAGTCCCGGGACTCTCAGCACCTGTTTCAATGCTCTACCTCGACTGTTACACCTGTGTTCCCATGGCAGCAATTCCTAAAGCCGTAACCCTGGGGGTGAAGTTTATGACTAGTCTGAAACCTTTTAGTACTGCCCCCGATTCCGATCTGGATGCACGCTGGAGCAGAGGGAAGGGATCTCTCATTTAGTCTTGACCCCAACGCCCAGACACTGGCGGCAGGATACGGCTGACGGGCCCAGCCCTGCACAGCCCAGTTTGGGTAAACCCCCCCCCCCCCACGGATATTGTTGCTATTGGGACGGCCTCTGCCATCTGACTCAGTCATCTCTGCATCTGCAACAGCCCCCAAATGGCCGGCATCGAGTGGCAATAAAGACACACCTGTGTTCATCATCCAGGAATGAAGGGTCCACGTAAGCCCTGCTCTTTGAAATGCTGGAACTCGGGCCACACAGACGCAGAACACGTGAGGGCCTTGCCGCTTGCCCCCTCTATTTGAAGAGAGCTACAGAGAGGTGGAGGGTCACATCTGTGCTGGTGAGTCCTGCTGCCCCTCCTCTGGAGCAGTGAGGAAGACGAAATGTCCCCCTGCCCTTAGCGGACAGCCCCTCCGGGCAGACCTTCCTCCACCCCAGCGGGTCACTGAGAACGGATCCCGTGCAAAGAACAGAAGCCTCAGTGCTGAGACCTAACTACCAAGAGTTCATTTTTCTCAAATAAGAGTCTGTGGTGCTGTCATTCCACGGGGCAGCTCTCGGCCTCACTTTTGTCGCTGGTCTCGCTTCTCTACTTCTGGCCCGCACCGCGGGCAGGAAGGGGGGAAGGGGGGAGGCGGGAAGGGCAGGGCCTAGATCCAAGCACGCTTTTTCCTAGCGGTCTTCGAAGACCTCCGAGCACATCTCACGGATGGGACGTGGGTGGCACAGGACCCTTGGCTGCGAGGGATGTGGGGCAGTGTACTTTCTATTGATGCCCACAACAAGAGCAGGGGCCGCTGCTGCGGAGGGACCGTACGGACACCCGGTCGGGACCTGCGAGGTCTTCCACGAGTCACGCGCAAGGGCTGCGCGTCCATTCGTTAACCGCACAAAGTTATCAGGCGCTTCGTGCACGGACCTGTTCCGGGTCCTGGGGATACAGAAGTGAGAGTCAGGCACTGGGACCCGACCCGCAGAGACAGGGTCGCTGCAGATGGGACTGCAAGCTGTATGCTGTGGATGCACGTGCGCACCTGCTATAAAAACACAGAAACACAACCACTCGAGAGAGTGACGGCCGGACGCTCCGAGGCTCGCGTGGATGCTGCCACGGGCCGGCCTGTATTGCCTGGAGATCTGCGTGCACCTGCATTCATCACTTACTCATTCACCCGCCGTCACAACAAACCGAAGTGCTGTTTTTACGGACACTGCAAAACGAAGGACACGGAGGCAGAGAGATGAACGAACTTGCCAAAGGTCACACAACTATGCAGGGAGTAGCCGCGCCGGGCTCCGAACCGGGCTTGGGCCGCCCACTTCACCGCCGAGCTGCGCCACCCACTGTGGGACACAGGACACACACACAGGACACAGGTCCAGCTGTCTGTGGGACCTGCCTGTCGCTGCACATCAAAGCCAGCCCAAGACTCAGCAGCCTTCACACAGCCCCTGATCTTTATTTTGCTAATGGACCTGGGATGTGGGCAGGGTTCCGTGGGCAACCAGCCCGGTGGACTAACCCAAGCTGCAGGATCCACTTGCAAGTGGCTCAGTGGCACGGCCGGGAGGTGCTGTTGGCCGTGGGCACCCCTCGTGTGGCCCCCACATGGGGCAGCGTGGCCTCCCCCCCCCCCCCGCCAACACCGTGGCAGCGGGATACTGAGAGCAGGTAGCTCCAGACAAGCAGAAGGAAGCCGGCCTCCAATCCAGGGGGAGGGAGCGAGGCCTCCTGCTCAGAGGGAAGGGGCCAAGGTTACATTGTAGTAAATGCAGGCTACACGGGAGATCTTACTTCTGAAATCCCCCAGGCTCCCTTCTGGCAGGGCCTTGTCCCATGCTGTCCCCTGCGCCGAACGCCCCACCCCTCACTCCTGGCTTGGTCAGCTCCTTCCCCTTAGAGGCTCTGCTTAGTGTCACCTCCTTGGGGGAGTCTTCCCTGACCCCTCCAACTGTGTCAAACATTCCTTCCCTCCCTCTCAGTGCAATGCAAGTATTTAGTGTAATTCAGTTTAATGTCCACCTTCCTCCCTTCTTAGACTCGAAGCTCTAGGAGGGCAGACAGCTGGCCCGTATTTGCCACCAAGTACCCAGCACCTCCCTCTCTCGGTGCTCAGCCCAGAGCAGTCACTCAAGATTCATAAAAGGAACAGAGGTGATAAATGCTACAAAAAGCTAAGTACGAGGTGCCTCAGGAACATCCAACCCCAGCCTGGGGAGATCAGTGAAGGCTTTTGGGAGAGGCATCACCTCCAGCTGAGGCCCGAAGGGACCAGGGAGTCGACAGATGAGCAGGAGAGGACAGAAGGCTTCCTGCAAAGAATAAACAGCACACAGTTTAGGGGTATGAGTGGCGAGCTGGGGAGCAGAGGGCAAAGCTGAGACAGAGGCTGGGGAGGGTGGGCGGCGAAGGGTGTGGAGGCCAGACCAGGTCAACTGAGGCTTTGTAAACCTGGCTTTTGTTTGTTCATTTGTTGAGATATAACTCACACACCATAAAAGTCACCCTCTCAAAGTGTACAGTTCAGGGTTAAGGGTTTTCTAGGGAGAACGGCGCAATCAGATTTGCACTGTAAAGAGGTGACCTGCCTATAATGTCAAGAGAACGGGCTGGAGGGGACAAAAGCAGGGATGGGTCCAGGAGAGGGGTGCGGGCGGCGGGGACTAAGTTCGGGGCCGCGGAGGTCAGAGTAGATGGACGGAAGTGAAGGCAGAATCGCCTGGCTCCCTAATTTCCTGGAGGCAGGTCTGGGGCAGAGGGAGGAGACCGGGATGATACTCCATTGTCTGGCGGAGAAGGGGACTCTGATGGGGGAAGAAGGTGATGTGTTGTGAGGTGGCCGGGAAGTCACTTTGGGGCACACAAATCACAGGCGGTCCGATCTTCCTGGCTCCGCGGCACGGGGTCCTGGAAGAGCGCTCGGGGCCGGCGTGTGAGGTGTGAGGATTGCCGTCTGCGGGGACGAGCCCCTGCTCGAGGATGGAGAGGAGCCAGAGCGCAGAGCGACCGAAGCCAGTGGTGGAAGCCAGAGAGAGTATCAGAGGGGAGGGGGTGGTAAACGCTGTGAGGCAGGCCATCGAGGTCAGGACCAGGACTCAGCTGTCCCCGGACGGAGCCAACAGCGAAATGGTCGTACGTCAGAGAAGGCGGGCTGTCGTTGGAGGAGGCACGACCGGATGGTCACAGAAGAAATCCAACCGCAGAAGGCTTTGGGACCACGCGCAGAATACTTTCCTTTCTTCAGACCCCGTTTCTTTAGCTGTCAGCTATGAGTGACAAAAGGGTTCCCAAAGGACAACGTGCATAAACCAGGACACGGTCACTCTACACGGAAGCTCCCTTCCAGTGTTGTTGGGAAGACCGAATGAGCTAGAGTATGGGAGAGCGCCCAGCAGCGCCCGAGGCCTTTTGAACAGGCACCCCCAAATTTTCGTTTTCTTCTCCTTTCCTTGTGCCAGCCACAATTTCGTCACGCATGCTTCTGGTGGGCTTTCCTGAGATTTGGCGTTACTCAGCACCCAGGTAACATCTGTCACGGTTAGAGACCTGGTGGACCGTATCTGGGACGAACATTTGGTT